AGTGATTTGTTGCGCAAATCAGTTAATATGAGAAACGCCGAGAATATCATCGGAAAGATATATATTATCATTAATAGTATTCCTGTCGACGGATAGGTTTCCGACGTGAAGAACGATCCGCTGAATACAGGTTTTGTCCAATCGATGGGCAGCGAGAATGAGACCGGATTGAGGCCGTCTTCTGCACCTATTTTGCGCATAAATTTGAGTAAACCGTCGATGAAGTAGAGGTACCGGACGTATACCGATGTGATAGTGTCTGAGTGGTCGGCGTATTCGCGGATTACACTTTTGTTCAATACTTCGATATCGGCGTTGAAAGGATCGGGCAGTCGAGCCCTCATATTCTCCGAGTAGTTGTCCGGATAGATGAGCGCAAACATGTTTTTGCCGGCGATCACCGAATCAATGGCCGCCTGTTTTGCCTCGTAATACGTGGGACTCAATAGCGATTCATTAATTGAATGTATAAATTGTTGGGACATATTATACGTGTCTCTGTCGGCGCCCGTATATAAACCGACCCGAACTCTGAGCGGTACTCCACCGACACATATACTGAACCCGTATATAGTAATGACCGGTAATAGAAAAAACAATATCACCGATACGTACACTCCTTTCAATTGAATGTAACTTTTGTTAAACAGGGCTTTCAAGTGACTTATGTCGACATAACTGTGCCGATGGGCGCCACGAGTGTTGAGCAACAAATGTCTTCGCGGTTTCATCGTTGTGTCCACCACTCGAGCTGATCCCTGATTCACTTGTTTGTCGCCCCCTTTGAGTTGTTTGTAGTGCTGTTGCGTTAGTTTGAGAAACACTTCCTCTAATGTGTGACAATTGTATTCATCGATCAATTGGTGTGGATTTGATTGTCGAAGAAGTGATCCATTGCTTACGAAACCCACATTTGACGCGTTCTTCGCCTCTTCGATATAATGTGTTGTAATTAATACTGTTATCCCTTTCAGTGTTAGAAAACATAAAATAAATTTATTATCACAATACTTGATAAAAAAATAATAATTAAACAAAAAGTAAGTAATAACATTAAAAGTTTTAAAAGGTTTTTATTTAATTAAATGTCAAGCATTTTAATTCACCACTTTAAAATTGCTTAGTGTTGAAACTTCTTCTAGACTAAGTTAGGTTTTTTGATTATGATTAATTAATGTAAAATATATTTACATTTACATGTTAAAGTATATTTGTGAATATGTTTGTCTGTTTTATGTCTAATTTTAGCAATTAAATTGAATTCTTACCATAATTTTTGCAAATATTTTCCAAATACGTCCAAATCCTATGCCTGAGGATAGAGTCGACACCAACTGTGGGCTCATCCAGTATAAGAAGTCTCGGTCTATGCACTATTGTGGACGCCATCGACACCAGCCTCTGCTGTCCACCACTTAATTCATTATTTTTCTAGACTTTTGTGGCAAATCCAACAATTCAATCAACTG